CACCATAAAATAGCATTCTTTTGTGTGTTACAGTGATGTATTTTGAGTAACTTGTCCTAATATTTTTCAAAAATCGCTTTTTTTAGAACAATTACATAGAGCACAATGTTAAACAAAAACAATATATTATTTTGTCAGCCTATGTCACCAGCCCACAATTTGAGATATGGCATAATATCTCTTCCATAGAAACCTATGGTGAAAGCACTATAATACTACCAGAATGGCCGCTACCCACTAAAATACAACCATGATTTTCTCAAAAACTTAACCTGGTGATCCCCAGCTTTTTTAAGTCAATAGTCTAATATTGCCCGGAAGTACAATTTATCAAAAAATTAATAAATTCTGAGTATTTGAAATCATGAGTAGGCTTCTACCTTAAGATATATCAGTATGATAAAATAGACGAAACAGAGAGGACTTGGTGGATTGGCACTTATTGATCATTTAGCTTTGAGCTCTCATTCTTCTGTACATCCGTATATAGATGCTATATGTGAAGGAGTACAAGTTATGACTGCCTGAAATTAGCCTTTTATTTATAAAAAGGGTGGTGGTCGTCGCGCCGGGTCCTGTTGATACAAGACTCATAGCGACATATACAACGCATGTAAAATACATTGTTTATTTACATAAAACTGAACACGCGCTGCGCGAAGACCACGGCCCTTTAAATGCCTACCTTCCGTTTCCCTGTCCGTTAGGCCAATCCACCACTCATCAAATTCAGCTTGCACATTTGTCGCAGCGTTAACAACAAACTCCTGTGTCTCTTGGTCGGTGACGAATATAAGATGGCCACCCAGATCGGCGCAATATAACTCTGCATCGCCAAAACGCTTCTCATGAGTGACGAATTCCAAACACGACGATCTAAACTCGACTTTATTCTCATCGCACGAGTTTCCTATTTAAAATAGAAATATAGACATTCTCAAAATAAACTGAAGAGTCAAAATGGGAACAAATACAGAAAGTACGAAATAAAAGTAATCTGTGTTTTTGTATTCAGACATCACGTAATTTACACACAAACACACATATGTCTTAACCATCGTTTTAGGTGAGCATCAGCGGGAATTGAGACGATAACGATGGAATTTCAATTTGATAACATTACACGTAAACAAGAATTAAATACGAATCAGAGCTTACCTGTGGTTGGTGGCGCTATCACTGTCAGTACAACGTTCACAGCCACCCAGACCGATAAGTACTGTGAGCTGGCAATACAAAATGACCGCTTTGACGACTCCATGATCTGTTTATCCTATTCAATATCAACTACGAACCGACCACGTCTAAAGTGCCACAGCTTTCTGTGTTGTTATGAAATATGCGCGAAAAGGCACATGATTTCATCGCGGATAACGAACATCTCGACCGGCGATATTTTGAAAAAGGCGCGTTCTGCACATTATCGAATACTTCGAACTCAGCCTCGTGACATGTACCGTTCGATATGCCCAACCTAAAGAAACCACCAACTTCAAACGTTTTGTTTACAGATGTTTCTCATAGCATTAAACTGAAATACTAGTAACACAAATGAGTATAGTTATAAGGCGACGACGTTCAGCCGTCACGGTTGAGGTTAAAAGGCGACGACTTTCAGCCGTCACGGTTGAGGTTACCCAGACGAGTGTAGCTCAGTTGGCGCGTTCACGTGAGAATACGTTCTATCGTACGCGTCTCACAGAATACGTTCTCGATCAAATGCATTTATTCAGGCTGTGTGTATTTGTAATGTGATGTATTGAATGTGGTAGGTGATAATAGTAGTCATATTTTTCAGCATAACCCGACGTTTTAGGTAATAGCCATCAGTGGAATTTACAAAGGTATTATGCCACGTGATAGACGAGCACGTACACATTGGGTCTCACGCCGCCAACGCTTGGATTTGTTGACTAAAATGGCAAGACGATATTTACATGCGCAGTCTGTCGGACAAAAGCCGCAAATTAAAATGCATATGTAACAGTGACATTAAAAGCAGTAAGTGCCATATACCAAATCAAATCAAAATTTGGTGTGACGCATTCTCTTAGAAACGTTTTGCGATGAACACCCGTATCTTATCATGTTCTTCTATACCTGTACTTGTTCATGTCAAAAATTATTATAAAATTGATATTATATTTAGTAGGTTTTAAATAATGATTTATTATTATTATTTTTGTTTATGGGAATCGCTGCTAAATTGTCATTGTATGTAAGTTGTTTATAAAATGTAATGCTCAAAAAACAAATGAACAGTGACTCAGTCCAGATACGTACGTGTAATTAGGCCAAAGAAAATTGTTTTGTTGCCCTCAGCGACCGACCGAAAAATATGAAATATCGGGTCGCGTTTTTTTCCCATATACCTCGGCTATTTGCGATACCCTTAGTTTTCACGAGTTTAAAAAAAAATCCGACCGACCGACCCAATTTTTCAGTTTTCCGACTTGAGGGCAACATAAGTTTTTTTTTTTTGCCTTATAAAGACGGATAATGACACGAAACATCGTCACTGATATATGCGCTCAAATATGCCAAAAACACACGAGTGGCACCGAGAAAGAATAAAACCCGACCCGTCTTTTTTTTTTCTGGATTAGACCGTCGTGAGACAGGTTAGTTTTACCCTACTGATGAGGGTAGTCATGCGCAATAGTAGACATACTAGAGTGACACGAATGCCGTTCAAAGCGTTGATCAATGGAAATTATATTTTTTAAAAACGTTACTACATCGTAGATGATGAACAACTACGCAACCAAACATAGTTATCGATTTAATAACATTGATTTGATCCATTTACCCCATTTTGACGTCACAAAAGCGTTCTGTCACCAGAGGGCGCAAGTTATGGGAATGATGTTTGGTACATCGGTACAACGTAAAATACGCTAGAGAACGCACTACCTGAGTTCGCATACTGGCATATAAACCTGGACATCCTATTACAGGAAAGGTCATTCCACTTATATTCATCATGTTTCTGTACAAGGACACAGTCCTTATTTTCGGCTTCCCGACTATTTGGTTCGTCATCTTGGAAATATTCATACACCAGTTCTGAACCATCCAACCAACGAAATACACCTATAATATAAAAAGATGGATGTTGACGTGTTAAGATGATGTTAAGACGTTGACTTTGATTGCTATTTGGTTATTTTTCTCCCAAAATATTTTTTGATTCCAAGGGCTGGACTATTACAAACTCTGGATGGGGTGATGGCAGAAAACAATGGACACAATTTGTTTTCCTTCACTTAGCTTTGTGCAAATTATTTCCATTTTTTAATTTTCACAATGTGTAACATTTTTTTTTAGAAAATTTCTTTCTTCAGTTATTGATTGCTGTAGGATCTTTGCGTGATTTTTTTCTGTGCATTTTTTTTTTCAATTCTGCCATCGCCCCAGAGTTTCTAACTTAAGGTAGAAGAAACCTACTCATCATTTTTGAGAAAGTTGGTCATAAATCGCATGACAGTGTTCATTGGTTTATTATGTAAAATCATGAAGCTATTGTCCCATTG